TGTCATGCATGACATTGGTTAGATATTTCAGAGGAATTAGTTCAAAAATAATTTTACTCCAAGCACAGACAGAAGGATCTTTTTTCACTGACCCACTGCAGAAGAATATTTTTCTAGCTGCAAAGGTTAAGATATTGTACAGTCTGTTGTTGGCTGATCATAAAGCTCTTTAATAGAAACAGGAACGCTGATTAACACTGAACCTGAAGATAAAAACCGACTGGTTCATGTCTCGGACACACTGGGCAACGGATATCCAGCGGCACCTCGTTATCAGTTTTAGACCAGTTTTATCTTTCTAGTTTTCCAGGAATATGTTCCCATAGCTCCCAGAGGGAAATTTAATGAACGTGCTGCACTGATACAACTGCAATCCTAACCAGACAGATTGAACAACATTAGAAGTGTTTTAATGTGAACAAAAAGTCTGAAAGGTGTAACATCTAATTTCTTCCAGAGCAGGACACTCACTCTGGCAAAAGCAGGACTCTTACATATAACATGCTACACTTCTCATGAGCAACAAGTGTTTTTTTAGTTATTTTTTTCATTATAAGTGGGGCAAATCATTTTATTAACAGTAATGTTATTGAATATGGTGCTCTTATCTCTTATTCTTTAAAAATACAATATAACTTTCCATGAGGTATTATATTATATTTCTATTTCAGGTTTATAACAACTTTAATATTGGTGTGTGGCCTGATGTGCACATCTGGTTTTGCTCAAAGCGGCGGTCAGTGTACTCAGGAGGTTTATGTGTATCCCCAAACACATGGAAAAAAATAAAGGGAACATTACCTTTGTCTCTTTATTTAGCCTATTTTTTGCATCTGTTTTCCCCACTTCTTAAGCCCTCTGTGAGCTTTCATTTTCTTCAGTTGCTTCTCTCTTTTTTTTTTTGCAATCCTGCCGTTTTTGTTTCCTTGTTCACTAGCTACTGTCATGATTTTATCTAGAGCTCTGACCCACATGCAGAAGACCAAACAGAGAGACCAGGGAAAAGTTTAACAGGTTTTATTTAGAGTGAATGAGATGAGTCCAGTGCTGCTCTGAACACTGTCGAACCAGAACTGGAAAGTGAAGGGGATGATACTGCGGTTAGTTCAGGCTCAGTGGGAAATTAGTGTCTTTGACTTGAAGAAAAGGGAATTAGGTTGCAGACTCACGTTTCCAGAAAAAGGAGTCTCTTATTGAATCCAGTCGGTGTGGGTTGTTCCAATGTCTTGTTCGTTGGAGGGTGGACAGGGTTTACCCAGATTGCGGTTGTTCCTTGGTGAACGGAGAAGCTGACTGGCACTTAGTTTTCTGGCGGTACTTGAACGGGTTATAGTGGAGATGAATCCCCTGCTCAGTGAGAAGCCCAAAACAATCCTTGAGGGGAAAAGTTGATCCAAACCACAAACTTGAATCCTCAACTCAGTTTGGTGCTCAGAGAATCCTTCCAGGGGGGAGAAGGTCCAAAACATCCAGTTTGCAGGATGACTTCCTGCCGAGAGGCAAAG